AGAAGGGACGCGTGTCCGTGCCCGCTCCGAGGTGTCGTCCCCGGGGCCGGGGAAGTGCAGTGCCCTCCGTGCGGCCTTTGCCCCGGCCGCCGAGCGCTGACACCTCCGTGTCCCAGTCCGCCGCCAGCCGGGTTCCCGCCCTCCCTGCCCTCTGTCTTCTGCGGCTTGCCATGTGTTCGCCTTTGCAGCGTTGCTCTCTGTTCTGATCTCTGCTGCGTCCCTTGAATTTTGTCAGCGTAGAGGCCACGGAGTGGTTCTTGTCTTCCTTCCGTCGAGGGTGTGTGAGGAGTGTCGGGGTGGTTGGATTGTGACTTGTCTCGTCACTCAGAAAGTTAAGGACTGTGGCTTCTGCTGAATTGTGTAATTTGCTGTTGTGAGGAGAAGAGCGAGGCAGAACACTTGTGCCTAAAAAAACAAAAAACCCGAGATTTCCTCACAGGATGGAAAACCAGAGTTTAGGGAACCTTTGATCCCTTGGAAAAAGAGCCAGCGTTGAGGAACAGTGTATTGCCGTTGGGAAGGGAAAATCATTTTGTCGCTGCTTTGAAGGAAGTACTGTGTAAGAAATGGAATAAAAGGGCAGGAGGTTAATGGGCCAAGCGTTACAGGTACCAGCCACCGTTTTCTGCTTCTTGGGTGGCAAAAGATCCGTTCTGTGTTCAGTAGTGTCGACCCTCAAAATGAACCAGGGTAGTTTGCCTTCCAAAGCAGGCAGTTACAAGAGATGATGCTGGAAACAGGATTTGGAAACTTTCTTTGAGTTTCCTGTCAGAATGTGTGGGGGTGGGTATGCCTCTTGAGTAGTTTCTCTTTTCGGTTGATGTAACTGATTTCTGCAACACTTTGATACAGTAAGTGCTAGATCAGGCCCCAGACTCCTTTCTGTCTTTTTGCTTTTCTGTAATACTTTGTTTCAGAATTAAATATATATTGTTGAATATTCTTTTTTAGTGTGGTGTTTCAGTGACTCTCGTTTAGCGTCCTTGCCTCTTCAAATTCTGTTATGATTGTGTTCATTATCAACCATTACATGTGTTCCAAAATTTGTTGAATGAATTGAATGGTTTGGTTCAGTGCCTGATTTACATCTCATATCTTTTTGAGAGGTACCTTTCAGTTAAATGTTGCATTTCCCTTCTTGATATAAAAATGTTATTCATAATCTTTTCCAGGCCACTGATACTTTTGAGACTATGGTGAAATATAGGAAATCTTTCTTTGCCTAGGAAAAACAAAATAGACATTTTTGCCCAAAATTTTGCATTCAGTTTCTAGACTCCTCTAAATTCACCAGTATTTTAAAATAAGTTATATTTATTTTAAAAGTGAACTGAAGTCTCAGATATTATTCAGTTTCTCGTTAGAACTTTTAAAAAGTGCACACTTTTTTGGTGGCCTTTGGATGTGATTGTGTCTTGACCCTAAATTCTAGGGGTTTGGGAATAAGGTTTAAGAGTGATTGTTCTTACAATTCTATGGGGGAAGTTCTCAGTAACTACTACCCCTCAAACAGGTTTCATGTATAGCCCAATGTAGCTGAGGAAGACCTTGAACTTGTGGTTCTCTTGCCTCCTCTTCCAGAGTGCTTGGATAGGTGTGTGCTTCCGTGCCTGGTTTATGTGGTGCTGGGGATCCAACCCAGTTCATGCATGGTAGATAATGGATCTGTTAGCAGTCATTTTGTTGGTAGTGCTGGGAATCTAACCCAGAATCTCAAGCATAGTTAGTTGGCAAGCACTTTACCACTGAACTGTGTCCCCAGCCCTAGCCAGCAGTCATTTTAAAACCAATCCTCCCTAGTAACTTTTGGCCCCTTAAAATTATAATCACGAATAAGTGGGCTTTTACTTGTACAATGTACTTTTTAGTAATATGAGAATTTTAAAACCAAATGGTTTCTCTTTCTCTCTTTCAAGCTTGTTCGTATACATGGTTTTCATGTAGTTAATTCTGAAGACCTGCAATATTAATTCAGTAAGCATGTATACTGTGTGGATAAAAGAGTTCTTGCTGTCATCCCTTCGATCATGAGGGATAGACCATAACGGAGTGAATGTAGAGTGTTAGGTGATAGAGCTGTATGGAAGAGTGAGGACCGCTGAGGACTGGAGAAAAACACTGCCAGGGAAGACCTGTGACCGGAGCACAGATCTGAAAGGAAGTGCGGGGTGTGTGCTCCCTTGTGTTAAAAAAGATCACAGGAAGAGAGGCCTTCTGGTGCAAAGACTCCAGAGTGTACATGACCTTTCTGAGAACAGCTAGGAGGCTAGTGTGGTCTAAGAACAGTAAACAGGGAGAGATAGAGGCCTTGAGATTAGAAAAGTAACTGCTGCTGCCCTTTTAAAACCTTGGATCCCATAGTAAATCTTTTGGATTTTACTTTGAATGAAATGGGGGAAGCCTTGGAGTAGAAGAGAAGCCTTGTGTGGAAGTCTACTTGGGTTGGGGAAATCAAGAAAAACTTGCAGGGGATTGAACCCAGGTCCTTATACTTGTTAGGTAAGTGCTCAATAACCAAGCTAGCTCCTGCCCTTATGTCTTCATTTCAACCTTTTAACCATTTAAAATAATCCATCTTCTTTGTGTTGGGCATGGAGGTATCTTCCCATCTCCATTAAGATAGCAGTGAAATTTCACAGCAGCCTAAGAAACTTTTTTTCCTTTTGGAATATTTCCTTGTGATGTATTTCTAAAAGGATCACAATATATGAATAGACTTATCTGGTATATGTCTAAATTGCCTTCAAAGAGTTGGTTATCCTAGTTTCAACAGCCATGGTTGTTGAGTGTAAGTTTTATGACAATTTCTTGTTTTCATTGGGTGTTCTTTTTAACACAAGCAGTTGTTTTGGTCACCAAATGAGATCTTTTAGACAGGTTGAATTTAGCTCACCTCACTCTCCGGCTTTTAACCACAGAGTGCTAATTGTTAGGGATACAGGTAAATTAGAGGGCCTTTGCTCTCAGGGAGCTTTTTACATTCTGCTGTGTTTTATAAAAATCTAATAGTGAAATAACTGTGAGTGTTGCCAGTGTGTTCTGTGACTGTGAACTTTGCTAGTGGATGTTGATAGTCTCCTACAAAATGAGCACTTAGTTGTTCATAAGGAGTTTTTGACCTCTGTTATTTGTTTATGTTTTAATGATATTTTAGAATCTTATAAGTTTGACAATAAGTTACGTCAAGTAGTTCTTAGTTAAGAGCAATTGAATTTTTCAATTGTAGTGTGCTGTTATTCAGAAAATAGACTGTTTCATTATGCAAGGTCAACTTTGACATTTTATTTAGGTTTAACAGGAGGATGATACCACTCTTTTCATAGAAAATTATACCACCAAGACTTTGTTCAGCATTTCTGGCTCTGGGATCTAGATGGCTTGACTTGGTCTGACAAAGTTATGACATCTGTAAAGGGAGGGAGAACAGCTGAGTCCCCAGAAAGCACCTAGCACTGTGTGGCATGTGCTAGAGAGCCAGGGAGTGTTCACCAAAGCTCAGTTTTCAAGGCTCCTGATTCCAAATAGCTCTTGTTTTAGATGTCAATATGAATAATTTGTATGAAACATTTATATTTTATTAATGTGGTACATTTAAAATTGTGATCATAAACTTACTTCCTCCCAATGTTTTTTTTTTCAAATTAAGCTAATCATTTATGAAAAGTTACTGCATAGTTCAAGTACTTTATGCACATTTCAATGTCATGGAATTAATATATTACTTAATGTACTTTTTTATCTTGTGGAAAATACTAGCATTAAATAGAAATATTTAAGCTTTCATATGTTAATGAGAGGAACTTGAAGCATCCTTTGTGTGGTGATCACAAGTAATAATTTTATGTACCTTTTATATTCCATACACTTTAGATAATTCATATTTTGAGGGTTTTTTGGTAGTGTTGGTTATGGGTTTGTAGTGAGTAATTATGGCCTCCCTCCCTGAGCATTTGATTTTGAGATGACTAGCTAATTTATTTCCAAGTTAAATGATCCTGATGAGAACTGAGCCTGTAATGTTAACTTTCTTCGTTATTGTGATCAGCAAAGCAGTTCAGCACAGAACTGTGCCATGCTCTCATTCTGCTGAAAGTAGGCCTTTCTGGGAGAGGGACAGACACATTGTGCACTCATACCTGCACCAGTGCAAAAAGGGAAGTTGTGTGATTATTTAAGGTAAAACTGAAACAAGAAATGCTGTACTTTTATAAAAGGAATAAAAATAGTCCTTTTAGTATTATTTTCAGAAGTAGCTAATGCACACCTGGGAAGTTAGCTTGTTTTATGAAGTAAACTTTAATTCTTGTACACAGGAATGGCTTTTTAAGAGTCATTAACTTATTTAGGGCATACAAATTTATCATGGATAAATCTGAAAGAATTTAATTTTGCCAGTTTTGTATCTTTAGCTTATTTAGTTCACATTGATAGGGAGTGATTCAAATTGTGAGGTAGGCAAAGTTAACGAAACTTAAAATAAAGTGTATAAGTCATATGTTTGGTTTCAGGACATAATAAAATTTAGACACTTCCTGAGTATATTAAAGTACAAATAACTAGTAAAAGATGCTTTTGAATTAGTTAGCACTTTTGCTAACTCACTTTGAATTCACATGTATGTATCAAACATGTTACTTATCAGTCTTTAAAATTTTTTATGTATGTGTGTATTTTTGCCTCAGTGTATGTTGTGAACTATGTGTGTGTGCCTGATTCCCAAGGAAGCCAGAGGGACTGGAGTTGTAGTTGGTTGTGAGCCATCATATAGGTGCTAAGAATTGAACCTGGGTTCTCTGGAAGAGCAATGTTCTGTTCTTTATTCATGTTTTTTTTTTTTGCATTACTGTTTTATACCAACTTACTGTACATGTGAAAAAATAATTTTGCACAGGATAAAATTGTGCTTTAGTTTTCAAAAGCAACACTATAGAAGTTAAAGAACTAGATGCAGCCGTTGAACAAAACCACAATAGCATTGGTCACTCACTGTATTTCTTGTAATAGTTTTAAATTCATTTATAAATAAAATTCATTCTGTTCCAGACAGGTTAGTGTTATTATGCAACATAATTGTTGTAATAGTTGACATTTTTACTAATTTTACAATTACATGTAAAATTACTGGATATGTTTGAAACTATCCTAGTTTGAATATAAAAGTATTGTATACTTGCACTAATAGACCCATTTGGCCATTGAACCAATGTTTTAAATTAAATTTTAAAAAAATTCTTATTTTATGTGTATAAGTATTTTGCCTGCATGTATGTCTGTACTTGAACGGATGTCAGATGGAGTAAGCTAGAAGAGGTTGTCAGAGCCCCTGGAATTGGAGTGATGGGTGATTAATACCTACCACATGGGTGCTAGGAGCCGAACCCAGGTTCTCTGGGAGGGCAGTCAGTGTTCTTACCCTCTGAGCTATCACCAGCCCCTGGAATGTTTTATTACCTATATTTGTGATCTCATGTGTGCTATGCATATGTCATGATGCATGTGTGGAGGTCAGAGGACAACTTGTAGGAGTTGTTTCTCCCCTTCCACCATGTGATTCTCAGGGATCAAACTCCTCAAGTACCTTTATCTGCTTAGCCATCTCATCAGCTGAGATGTTTGAGTCAAAATTAAACTCTTTGCTGAACACATGTAAATGTGTAGTGTTTTTTAAACCAGGAGTTTATAGTCTAGTAATCATGTGTTTTCATAATGGATTAAAAATATAAGTAAATTTTTTAGGTCAAATTCTTTTTACTAGTGAGCTATTTCTGTATATTTGTTTTCTAGCAGCTTTTTAGTACTTGGCTGTCCATTAAATGGTAGGTCTGTGCAGCTTCATAAATACTATTCCTTATTGTCAAAAATATAGTAATATAAAATACAGACTGTGATCTAGCTCAGTCCTCAACACATACACCCCTCACACTCGCGTGTGCGCGCGTACACACACACACACACACACACACACACACACACACACACAGACACCCACATTGTACTGGAGTTGTTTCCTTGTTAAGATAGCCATTTTAATTTTATGTTTAACATCAAGGTTTAGGGTTTTCTTGTTTTTGTAGAACAGATTTTTTTAAATTATTTTTTCCTACATTGATTAAAATCATCCTATGCCACTAAAATGTCTACTTAGATTGGATGTGTGGCTAGACAGAGTGCATCAGTTACGTTCTTAGTGAGAACTAGGAGCTGGCCAGTTTTATTTTCAAGTTTCTTCCTCAGATCTGACTGACATGCTTATAAGAAACAATACAGCATTTAGGTTTGCAAAACGAGGATAGTTATTCTGGTTTTTCTGTTTTTGCACATTGTGAGAATTAATTTGACTTTACTTTCAATCATCATGCGTAGAAAATCTGCTTAACAGTGGTGCTTTCTTTTGGGATTTTGGCTGTCCATTAAATAGTAGGCCTTGTGCAGCTTCGTAAATACTGTTGAGTTTTGGACAACATCCTTTATATAGTCTAAAAGTAAACATGAACATAATAGAACCTGGCAACAAAACAAGACTGATGTTTCTTTGTCCTGAGAAATGTAGTTCCTATTCCAATTAATCTCTCCTTTTTACCTTCAGTATTGTTTTCAGTGGATATGAAATTTCCTCCCCATTTCTCTCTCTCTCTCTCTCTCTCTCTCTCTCTCTCTCTCTCTCTGTGTGTGTGTGTGTGTGTGTGTGTGAGAGAGAGAGAGAGAGAGAGAGAGATATCAATATTATATTGTTGGAAATTTTGAAAAGATCATAAATGGAAAGAAATCTAGCATTATTGGTGATCCAGTTACACAGAGAAGACTACCAGTAATGTTTCAGTATTTATTTTCCAGGTCTTTTTGTATACAGACTTTTATTTTTAGAAAAGTTAGAATTGTGCTTTGTACTATTTAGGTATGACTTTTCCTGTCTATGTGGGATGTTGGTCCCTTGGTTTAGAGCTTTAAGGTTGATCTTTATGATACTATTAACGTAATTAAAGGAGAGACATTTTTGTGCATTTATCTTTGATTGCATCTGTTTTTGTCTTTTCCTTCCTCTCTTTGCTTTAGGCTAGGTTCCCAGAAATGGGATCTCAAGGCTCAAAGAGTAGTTGCCCTGTATAAGTGTCTTGATACACCTTCAGTGGCATCAAACAGGTTAGTTTTTATAGTTCTTGTCAGTGGGATAGATCCCGGTTCGGGTCTTTGTAGTTATCTACAGACATCATATTACTAAGAATGTGGAACAGCATTATTGTGTATGCATGGAAACTTAATAGTTCTTTTGAAAAAATTAATTACAATGAGTTTTTCAAAAAATATTTTAGAGCTGGGCAGTGGTGGTGCACATCTCTTTTCTTCTTTTTTTACTTTTGGAGACAGGGTTTCTCTGTAACTTTGGAGCTTGTCCTGGAACTAGCTCTTGTAGACCAGGCTAGCCTCGAATTCATAAAGATCCACCTGCCTGTGCCTCCCAAGTGCTGGGATTAAAAGTGTGTGCCACCACCTTGCTTCAC